TGGTATTGTCTGTCAATAATGTTCTTCAAAGCTAGGAGAACTTGACTCAGATCTCCTTTCATTGAAGTGACGTCACCCTTTACTTGGTCAAGATCCTCTCTGAATGCAGCCTGAGTTTCCTCGATTTTCTCCATTGCTTTTTGTTGATAAGCCCTGGTTTGGTATGGAGGCCAAGGAGGTGGCGATGTTCTTCTACCAGTGGTTCAACTGGAGAGATGTTTGTGAAAAAATGAGTTTTGACACGATATGTGGGTGTTCGTGAATGCATGGGTGCAAATGAATGTGTATAAATATGAAATGGTTACTTGTTTTGAATGTCTTACTCACTTGGGTATGTATCCGTCTTTTGCTTATTATTTTACTTAGCGACTATGTTTAAAATAGATACGCAAACGATGTGTGGAAACAAAACGCCTTTATTGAAAGTAACGTAATTCAGATATTGAAAAATATTACTATCTTAAGCCAAAACTTTATTTGCGTGAAATCAGGAAAAAAGGAAATAAGTCTTCTAGGCGCGCCTGCAGACATCTGATCTTGAAACCACCCCCTGTTGCTGGACAAAACTTGAGAAGGTCTTCAGCACGTTATTTCCCTTTTGCAGCCTTGATTTCAGGCATGTTTGGTGGGTTGACGTGGGCAAGTTATTTCCCTTGGTATCCATTTTAAAAGACACTCACCGAGATCTTGAGCTTATTACTATATTTTATACCCCATGCGAATAAGACAAATGTAGGGTGATGAATATATGAAATGCATGAATGCGTGGGTGTAAGGTTGAGTGACAGAACTTTTTGTAATAAGTACCCCTATAAGGTAGGGATGTATGGTTCAGTGACGGGATTTTTGTGATAAGTACCCTTAGAAGGCAGGCTCCTTAATTTTGACCTAAGGTTAGTCTACCCTCCCAAAAGGTGGCTTCCTTAAGGGTGTCATGAATAACACCGGAGGGAACAGGCACAAAGGCCTCCCTTAGGTGGAGCCTCCTTACGGACTGAAACTTTCGTCTCAAAGTCGTGAAAGGTATCTTCATGAGATTTTAGGTTAAGGTCGTTACAAAGAGTCATGGGTGTCCTTCCAAAGTCCTACTCATCAAGAGGATATCTCTCGATAAGTATTCCTTTTTCAGAAGTCCACCGACTCTAGGCGAAGTCGTCACATAAACTCACAGAGATGATGTACCCCCTAAGCTAATAGACACACCTTCTTTCTAAGGGTTATTGAAAATATTTTGAGAAATAAAAAAAATCCCGCCATGCAGTATATATGATGATAAGAGAAATTGACAGTAAATAAATAAATGAGGTAAAGTAGATAAATGCAATAAATAAATAAAGCAAATAAAAATAGAAACCCAAAAATACCTAAACCTAGGGTTAAGGAGACTCCCCAGCAGATTCACCAGCTTTTGCGACTGGTTTTTAAATCAGAGCCACAACTATTAGTTTTTATCCTAGGGAAGGGAATCTAATAAATAACCTTGATTCAGACATAGATTCTAGGTTTCAGACTTAATTAGATGAAAGGAAGGTGTTAGGCACCTTTCATCTATGTTGTTCACAAGGATACTAAGCTCTAGGTTTAGGTTTGGGGTAAACTGGATTCTAAGTTTTAATTAGAAAGACTCGCCACGATTTTTGATCGTATGCCTACGTATCCTCTTATGAGGAATCAGAGTCTCAATTCGTAGTTCGTATGGGTTGTTGTTTTTTAGGGGTTTTCAAACATATTTTGAATCACTTCGCACTCGGTCGGGAGTAGTGATTGCGGAGATTTTGACTGAATGTGCAGTAAGTCAAAACTAGTTTGTAACCCTTTTGCAAAAAAACAGTTGATTAGTTTAGTTGATTGCGAAAAATAGATTTAAGATTTGTTGAATAATTTTTAATAATATTAATTGCAAAAAGTCTTGATTAATGTATGATAAAAATATTTTAATGCAATAAAATAGAAAATATGTTCATGAGTTTTTTAAATAAACATAATTTATTTATGATAATAAGTAATATTGACATATACTAAATAATAATACTATAAATAAAAACTACTAGTAGTAATAATAATAATAATTATAACTAATAATAATAAAAATAATAATAATTAAAAAAGATAATAATATAATATAATAATAATAGTAAGAAAATAATAATTATATAGAAAATGTAAATAATTAATTTCAGGAGGGGGTGTATTTTTTTAGGTACTAAGTAAACTTGAGGGGGTGTTAAAAGCACACTGGGCTAGGCCTAAATATAAACTCTAAAAGGGGGGGGGGGTGCATCTTGTTTTATGTTTTAGTAATCTGGTGAAAGGGGGGTGTGTGAAGGAAAGGGCTTGGCCCAAAACATTTAGGAGGGATCCGAGTGATTAAGTGTAGCGAGGGTGTACGCTAGCTAACACAGACTTGGCCTAGTGGCCGTCAGATCATGATCTAATGGATGCAAAACGAGGGAGTACGATAGACAAGATGGGCGCGTCGCATGGGATCGATACTGATTAATATTGTTTTAATTTCATTTTACAATAATTCTGATTTACAATGAACACCTCTTCATCTTCATCTCTCTCTCTCCCTCCGCTACCGACACACCTCATTAACCTTCTTCTATCTCTCAACCCTAACCTTTAGCTACCGGTGGCGCTGGCGAACCACCCTTTCTCTTCTTTACAGTAGAACCCCTTTTCCTGTCTCTCATTAACCCTATCCTCTCTTCTTCTTTCAAAACCCTAGTCCTAACATCCCCTGTCCCCGCGGAGGCTCGACCCAACCAAACCCCTTCTCACCGTAAACGAAAACCCAACAACCCCATAACAACACCAAAAAAATATGCTAACTCAAATAACCCTTTTCGCGATCCTGTTTGATTTCTGAGCATTCCAGTTTCTAACTCCTTCCTCTTTAATTCGCAGGTTCCGACGATGGTGGTGACGGTGGCAACTGGGCTAGCAAGGTAGGTTTATGGTTTGAAATGGCGATTATGGTTTCCGATAGTGAAACCCCAATCGCCCCTTTTCTCTGTATCGTCTTCTATTCTTGATCTCGCCTACTGTAGAAATTTTCTCCCCGTTTCTGTATCATATTCCTTCCCCCCATTCTTTCTGTTAGTTAGTATGTATATATAGGTTTATTTTAGATATAGGGTTTGAATGAATTTCTGTTTTGATTAGCATGAATTAGGGAGAGTAGAGATAATTAGGGAATTGTTCATTGATTGTGTTTGTAAGCGATTGTGAAATATATTCAATTCTGCCCTTACTGTAATCTCTAGATTATATATTTCCAAATTTGATTATTATTAGCTTTGGAGATTTAATTTGGTAATGATAAGATTTGATTCAATTTTTTTAATTTGATTTATACAGTATCAGTTCTAATTGTACATATGCTTGATTTTTGGCTAGATATGAACAGTGCTCGTTAGTGTACTGGGCTTGTGCTTCCATTTTTAGTCCAAGCATGTTTCACAACAAGAAGTGTTTAATTCAATTAGGCCTAAATAGCCTTTCCTGTAACCATAAAATAATAAAACTCCTAATAAAATTTTAACAATAAAACAAAACTTAAAATAGATATATTTTTTCTTTTCTAAACAACAACGCCATATCTTAACTTAATGGGCCTTACGCACTTAACCGGCCCAATATGGATTTTAAGACAAACAAAACCAAATTTATCAGTAAAACGTTTTAGTTTTCTTTAATGTATATTGTTTATTTATTTATAACAACAAACAGTTTCTTTTAATAATGATATCCTTTTTCCTATTTGAAACAAAAACAACAATTTTAATGATAGCATTTCCTTTTCAACCATCTGATGTGCTTTATATTCATAAACATACTCCTTTTCAGCAATAACCTCTAAATGATTTTAACAAAAGTTTAATTGTTATTGAAGTGGGGTTTTTCTTTAATTAAGACTTAATTATTATTTGCATAATTTTTCATTTTCGAATCACATGGGCCATAGGCCAACATGCCCTACGAATAGGTTTTCAGATACACGAGTCTTTCTAATTAAAAAAAACCCCACTTTCCTGAATTAAAAAATACACGCCCCTAGTCTTGGATAAAGATGGGACATCAGATACTGCTGTACCATCTTTAATTAAATAATTATTTTATTTAAATCTTGAAAAATAAGATCATTGAGGTAGGACAAATTTGGGGTACGACACACAATACTGCAATTGGTTTCTTTAATATCGATTTCACTCCCTCCAACATCAATCGTATCTCAGCACCATCGTATTTGTTCCGCTTCGTCTCAATCTTTATTCTCCACACAAATAGAAGACGTAAAAAGAGTGAAGGTAGAAGGTTTACCGTCTGAAGATAGCATCTAGTACCTCTTTGATGTCGGCGACGAGCAACAAAAATCAAGAGAACGTATTCAGGTATGCTTGTGATTCTGGTTTCTTTCCACAGAACCTTCTACTTATGCCTCTTTTCGTTTCCAAAATTTATCTATGTATCTGAAGTTGTTGTTGTTATGACGTTGAAACGATTTGTAGTCGAAGTTGCAAAGCAGATTTGAGATATTGAAGTGATGATTCAATGAAGATGATATTGTGAAGATCGAAGGTGAGCGTGTAAGGTGAATGATGAAGACGAGTTGCTACACAGTTTTCAGAGGGAGTATGAGACTAAATATGATTATGGCGATTTTATCAAGATTCGTGAAGAATGATGTCGAAGGTTGAATAAGGTGATAAAGAATGATATTGATGCAAGTTCAAAGAGAGGTTCATTTCTTTTAATTATGCTACTTTTTTCTATTATGGATGCCTCCTCCTGTTTCTGTTGTTTAGAAATTTTGTTAAGAAATAGTTAGGGAAAGTTGTTAATTGAGAAGCTATTATGGTTAGGTTCTATTATTTTCGGTTATGCAGGTTTGTTGAAAGGATGAGAAAAATTCTATTGACAGTTTGCAGGGCTTTTCGGAGATGAGGTTAGAAATTCTGTTAAAGGTTATTTTTTGCTGGAAGTTTCTTAGGAGCCTATTGGAAGTTGGTTAGGAGTTGGCGAAATTCTATTTTGTTTTCTGTTATGCGGTTAGGTTGTTTTTTCTGGTGATCGCTTTCTAAATCTTTATCATCTAACATTGTTGTATCCTGCTGTACAATTTTGTCAGGCTGATCTCCTTCACTTTTAAAATCCCTCGCAGAAGTAGTTGTTACCTTCTTATCATCTAGTGGATCTTCTAGAAGAAAGCAACACCTTAAAGCAATCTCAATCCCAGGAGCATTTCCATACAAGGATTTCATATAGTTATGAGTTGAAGCAACAGCCACATCAGAACCCACCAACTGCACAAGGAAAACTGCCAATGCCATGACAGGATTACCAACTTCGGCAAATGAAGACGGGCCTTCAGGTTCAAGAGAATAACCAACAGTTGCAAATGCTTCCTTAAGAGCATCTAAAACACAGTCATTATCTACTTCGACGTCCATCTTTACTTTAATGTCATCTCCTAATTTAGAAATTCCCTCACTAGTTTTCACATTACCATCTTGTAACTTAGGAGTCTCTTCTTGATAAGCATTTCCTTAATGTAACCCTTAATGCTTGGTGATTTGATAATTGTCTCCTTAATAATTTTCTATCTTTTATTACAACACAAATGACAAAACCACTCATCAATTGGTATTCGTTCCAAACGTGAATTGTAGCAACATGGATGATATGAATCTTCACAATGATCACATAAAAGCATTTTCACTAAATTTCCCACATGACCACATATTTTGCATGACCTGGAACAATAATTACTACCAATGGTAACAACATCTTCAATGGAAACAACATTATCTATAACACTATCTCCTCTAAGAAGTCCATGGCTTCTTAAAATGTTAAAGCAATTCTCCTTTTCTGTTAAATCTTCACTTGCAACATCCATTCCTATTACATTCGAGGAAGAGCATTCTCTAGTGTTATACATCTCAGTATCTAAGGAATCTGAAACAAGTTCCATATTTTATTTTGAAGAAGAACAACTATCAATTACACTACCAATACCTAATTTTTCTGTGTGATGTTTTTGGTTGCTTCTTCAAGTAAGACAAAAGGCAGAGTAGGTTCCTTAACAATTTCAATTTGATGCTCAACTACAAAATCAATTGTTTGATCCTTAGCTTATGATAGATGCAAATAGGAATTTATTACTGAAGGGATATTGGCAATTGTCCGTGCACCCGTTGGCTCAAGCTTGAAAAGAGGGGTAGTCGATCCCTTGCATAACCTCTTTTTCTTTGTACACAAAATTAGGATCAGTAATTATACTTACAGTTGATGGTTAACCAGAACTTCTTACACAGTTTGAGTTGTAAGGATCATCAGCATTTCGTCTATCCTCTACCATTGGTTTAGCCTTTTTTTACACCAGTCAATAGGGTACTTGTTGAAATAGAAACCCTAGCTCACATTATCTTCCTTTGAAGTGTTGTCAGAAACCATTTCATTATCATAAACCATGTCATTATCATAAACCTAATTGACTTGCTTTTGAGGCTTCTTGATGAAGAAGTTTGATGAAAGAAGAAGTCATCAATGGATATGAACATAAAACTCTAGCTTCACAATCCATAATCAAATAAAAACCAGTTGATTTAAACCTGAGTGAAGATAAGAGCTTAAAAGCATATAGAAACCCTAACTCCTCAATATCTTTGATCACATGCTATTAATGAATGAATGAAGTGTTAGCTAACCTAATGAAGGTTATGTACATGAGAAAAGTGCGAGCTGCATAAGCCATATAAAAGTGAAAGGGTAGGACAAATTTGGGGTATTACAGTTGACCCTATATAATCTTCTTAAACCTGAAAGTATAATTGGCGTGCGCTTTTCAGAAGTTCGAGGTAGAAGATGATTAAATACCAACGCGAAAAATTTGTTCTGAAAGATAGTGGTAATGAGTATTGTATTTGTAACATCCAATGGGGAATTAAAAGATGTGGGACTAAACCCGAGGTATACATCGATCAGGACACGACAACATCAGAGTACATCGATCAGGACACGATGAATCACAGGAATACATCGATCAAGACACGATGATTCGCATGAGAGATATCGATTAGTGTAGCGATAAAAAATGTAGCGGGGTAAATCGGAGATCGAATTATTGATTAATTCGTCTCACAAAAGCAAGAGTCGCCACCGCGCTTTATTATTTCCAAGGGAAAAGGGGAAAGAGCGAAATAAAACCCTAAATATGCAATGTAAAATAATACTTTTTAAAAGTAATAAAAATACAAGGCGTTTTTGAAAAGAGATCTATGGTTCGGGGGTTGGTTATACAGTGGGAAGGTATTAGCACCCAATGTATCTATAGTACTCTATAGGAACCTTTTGAAATATCTGTTTATTGAAATATTCGTTTGATCAAAAATAAATTGTTTTGGCCGAAAAGGGGTACGGACGGGTTTTTGAAGGTGCGACGACCTAATGTCGAAGTTTTGACTTAAAAGGTATAAGTTTTGAAAAGATTGGATATTTGGGGAAAAAAATTGTCTTAAGTTTTAATGAAATGCAAATGTTCGCGTGATTGGACTCGAGGACATGAAGTCGACCAGTTTAATCATTTTTCCCTTGGATTTAGACGTAAACAGAATAAAAAAGTACGATGAAATAAATCAAACTGAAAATCAGATAGATAATGATTTATATAGCTAAATGACCACAACAATGATTAAATAGACTAAAGGATGTGAACATGTATTTTTTTAGATTTTTGTTTAATAGGTATAACGCAAGGGAATTAATTAAAGGAAATAAAATGTTTTTTAAGTTCCTATTTTTTATGTTTTTTTTTATGTTAATATAAAGTATTACTTTAAGAATTATTAAATAACTCTAAACCAAATTAAAAATTAAAAGGTTATTAACTTAAATCTAATTAAAAAGGAATACTAAAATTATTAAATTAAATCTTAAAAGTTAAACTAATAAAATTGGTCAATTATTAAAATTGTTTAATTAAATTATCTCTATTAAGTTAAATAATTAAACTAAATTAATAATAACTCTAAAAAGGGGCTAAGGAAAAATAGAAAAAAGTATCAAGAATCAAAAAAAGGGGGTAAACAAATAACTCAATGCATGGGCTAAACAGTTTCTAAAGGGCCTAATCAGGGGTAATAAAAAAGATGGGGGGGGGGGGGGGTGTTCTAGGAATTCGCTGGGCCTTGGCTAAGGAAAACCGAGTTAAGTCCAATTCATTCCATAATTTGTTTTAGGGTAAACATTGTTTTAGCTTAGGGTTAGCAGAGGGCTTAAGGGTTCACAACAACGGCGCTCATTTGCTCGTCTTCTTCGCTTTCGCGTTCTTCTTCGTCTCATATGCCCGCTTCTGAACTCTCTTGTCCATGGCCACCAGTATCCTTAATCTTCTTCTTCCCTCCAGCAAAGCAATAGGGCGACAGATTCACGGTACAATTCGATTTTATTTCGTTAGGGTTTTATTACAAAGTTGTGATTTTTCATCTATTTTATTCTGACTTCAATTAATATGATGATTTGAGGCATTTGAAAGTAAGAGAAGGAGAAATCGTTACCTGGAGACGGAGGAAAGAAGTTTGGACGTGTGCGTAGGAGGCTTCGGCGGCGGGGAAGAAGGTGACGGCGTGATATTTGCTTGGTATCCTGGTTTGTCTTCTTCCTCTTTTTGCTTTATGGTTTGATGATGATGTTGACTATGTGATATTTTCTTCTCTTCTGTTGATTTTTCCTATGCCTATGCAACGCTTCTTTTCCTCTTCTCTTAGTTGCCTTGAATTTGCTTCTGAGTTGCCTTCGTTGTATGCTTCTGAGTTGCCTTCGTTGTATGCTTTTTCTCCTCTTCTTCTTCTCATGCTACTGTTGCTTTCAGTTGCCTTTTTGTATTAGCCTGGGATGACTATCTATGAGGCTTGATGGTTGCCTTGAACATTGTTTTAAGGTTTGTGTTGCTATGGTATTCTGATTTTTGGCTTTGACAAGGTTTAAGGTTTTAGGCCATAAGTCTTACTGGTTTTAGGCCATATTGGTTTAAAGTTTGGTGATGGCTTTGGTTCTGAAATGGATTGGCAGTGGTTTGAATTTTTTGGTGATGGCTTTTACTGGTTCATCCAGGTTATGGAAACAGGTTTTATGGTTTTATGGTTTAGGCCATGGCTTTCGTGTTTTGACAGGGTATGCTATTTTTTAGGCCATGGGTTTGGTTGGAGATAGCAGGTTCTACTGGTTTTAGGCCATATGGTTTTTGGTTTGTGGCCTTGATACACTAGGTTCTGGTTTTCTGGTTTATGCAGGTTCAAAACTTAAGCAGGTTTGGCCTTTGACAAAGGTTTAAAGGTTTTATGGTTTAGGCCATATTGGTTTTGGCCTTGATACAGTAGGTTCTGGTTTTTGAGACCTTGAGAATTTTGTTTTTGTATTTGTTTTGACAGTTTTTTGAGTGTTTGAAAGCTTGAAGACAGGTTGTGAACTCCTCAATTTTAAAAGGATTTTGTTGTGTTATAACAGTTTTCTTGCTTCCTATCCTTGAGGTTTATGTTACAGGTTGTATATATTTTTTACTATGCTTCCCCTTGATACCTCTGCACACTATACTGCCACATTCAGTTTGTTTGTATTCTTTTTCATGCTTTCTTTTCTTCACTGGATGCTGCTGCAGTTTTGTTTCTATTCCTTTTTCTGCCTAAGCCAAAACCTGTAAAAACCACACTCTTCCTCTCTTCTCTCTCTCTCTAGTACAATTGACATTAAAATGCTATATGTACTTTATTTGTTCCGAAAAAGTGAAGGCTGGAAAATGATGAGAAATGGAAAATATTATGCTTGCATATTTGGTTTTAACTGCACATGTTCTCTTTGTTTACTGCATGGTACAGCATGGGAGCCTTTGTGTTTTTTGACTTCTTCCATACTTTGGGGCAGTTTACGTTGGACCTTGCTTTGACAATTTGGAACTTGACTATGCATATGCTGTTGCTTTTGAAAAATGAATTTGTGCAATTGGTTTTGAAATGTGCAATTGATTTTTTTAATTATGCTGTTTATTTTTAAAAAATGCAGTTTTGACAAAAAATGAATTTGTGCATATTTAACTTGTGCATTCATATTTGTCAAATAAAATTCATCCCTTTTTGTGAACCGGGAGAAATCCCGTGATTTGCAAAGAGGGTAAAAACTGATTCCAGCCGTTTGCTTTTAATGATGAACACTAAATTAATCTCTGCTTTTAATTATATCTATTCCTTTCTGACTTTTCTTTTAATTCTTTTGCAGGTAAAATTAAATGAGCAAACAAAGAAGCATTGGATAGAAGATAAAGATTTAGAACTTAGGAAAAAATTAGGATAGCTTTTATTTTACTTTAATCATTTTATATAATTGTCATTGTAAATACTTTGTAAATAATACAGTATTTAAATAACAATTGTAATAATTAGAATAAAATGAATAAAAACTCCAATATTTTACCAGTTAACTCTTTTCTTCTTTCCAATTGTTTATTTATCGTTTATAATTCTTTAAATTATATAATAACTGAAAATCAGTTTCAATTATTTAAATTTAGAATGATAAATAATTAAATAAACCTCATTGATCAATTAACTTTTCTTCAATTATTTACTCCATTATTTATAATTCTTTAATTTATATAATAACTGAAAATCAATTCCAATTATTTAAATTTAGAATGATAAATAATTAAATAAACATCATTGATCAAATAACAAACTTCTTTTCAAATATTTATTTTATTATTTATAAATCTTTAAATTATATAATAACTGAAAATAAATTCCAATTATTTAAATTTAAGATAATAAATAATTAATAAACATTGTCTGATCAATTAATAAACTTCTTTTCAAATATTTACTCTATTATTTATACATCTTTAAATTATATAATAACTGAAAATAAATTCCAATTATTTAAATTTAAGATAATAAATAATTAATAAACATCATTTTAGCATTG